AGATATGACTAAAATTTTAAAACGATCACACCTCTGGAGTTAAAAATAAACTCCAGAGGCTCAAAGGTGGGAGCAGAGAATACATGCATTGAAGGAATCGAAGCTAGAGATGTCAGTGACCTGGATAGGGGTGGTGGGAAATCTGGGTCTATTTGAAGGGCAGAGCCATCAAGACTGACAGGTTAGTTGTGGATTGCGCAAGAAGGAGTAGAATAAAATATGTAGCTTTGGCATTTCTGAGGACAGAGTTGCTATCAGCTACAAAGAGAGAAGGAAGGGTGAAGTACCTTTGAGGGTAATATTCACAATCATTGTTGGACACACTGAGGAAGAAGTTGGAGATGTTGGACAGGAAGCTGAGCTTTGGGTTTGAGGAGGTAGGTTTGGTCTGGAAAGATAAATTTGGCAGTTGCCATCTGGATGGCACATAAAACCTCATTGTAAACGGTATGTTTTCTTATCTAACAAGTTTTGTATTGCCCTCCTGATTTTGCTAATTGAGCATAACAGAGTGGAAAATGAATGAGATTTGGAGTTGAACAGATCTGGATCAGAGTACCAGTGCCCCACCTTACTCATCACATGATTCATCTTGCCGAGTTGCAATTTACTTAATCTGGAATATGGGATGATGGCACCCACTCTCTAGGGTTATTTGGCTCAAATTACATGATGTCTGTTAAACTCCTTGCACATAGTAGACATTCAACAATTAATTTTCTTCCTCCTCTTTAAAATCTGATCTGAATACTAACCAAGTTCTTTTCTCAGAGCTCCACAGCCTTGCTACTTAGCAGTATGGTGCTGAAACGAATAGCATTGAGATCCCCTGGACTGGAGAATTTGCTGGAAATGCAAATTCTCAAGCCTTGCCATCAAGACCTATTGAATCAGAAATTTTGAGGGTGGGAATATGCAATCTGTGTTTGAATAGGTCCTTCAACTTTTGATGTATTCTAGAATTTGGGGACCACAGCTTTAGTATTTTTTCATGTCTAAGCTTCTGCCTGACTCTTGAGCATACATCATGTTTTTTGCTCTGATCCTGATCCTGCCTGGCTGGTCATTGTCAGCAAAATGATATATTAGACATGAGGTGTGGCTTTACAAATTCATTCTTTTTTTTTTTTTTTTGGTATCAAGGATCAATCTTAGGGGCACTTAATCACTGAGCCACATCTCCAGACCGTTTTAAAAATTTTATTTTGAGACAGGATGTTGCTAGGTTGCTTAGGGTCTCACTAAGTTTCTGAGGCTGGCTTTGAATTTGTGATCTTTCTGCCTCAACTCCCAAGCCGATGGAATTATAGGCATGCACCACGCACCTGCTACAAATTCATTCTGTTGATACTTTAGCCCTAGCCTCTGAGGCAAGTTCAGATGTACACTGTTATGGTATGGATGTGAGGTGTCCCCCAAGAGCTTGAGTGTGAGATAATGCAAGAAGGTTTAGAGCTTCTGCCATGATGCTTGGCTTTACCTCGAGCTGGGAGGAATGGAGCCATCTTCTATGGACTGAGATCTCTGAAACCGTGAGTCCTCAAATAAACTTTTCCTCCTCTAATATTGTTCTTATTGGGTCTTTTGTTCAAAGCAGCAAAAAAGTTGACTAAAGCAAAAACAAACAAAACAATAACAACAACAACAACAACAACAAAACATACACTCCCAACTCTATCCTTACTAAATAAAACTGTTCTAGAAGACAGTTAAATTCAACATGACCCCAACAACTCACTCTTCCATGTTCCTCATCTACTTCACAAAACAAAAATAATCAACTCTGACCTCTCTTTCTTTCTCTGTCCCCTATTTTAATCCTAAAGTTATTTGCTGAAAGGTCATTGTAAATGCCACATTACATTTCATTGACTGCCCCCAATAACTCTGTCAGGCAGGACCAATATGAACTCCCACTTAATAGATGAGGAAATTGAGGAGTTAAATTAAATGGTCACTCTAATGTATAGAGGTTGTACAGTGCAGGGGCAACAGAGGGAGGCCATAAGGCTGAAGGGGGAAAGGATATTTTTGCTTCCTGTAGAGTATCACCCTTGGAATGCCTCTTCACAGTTTGTTCTAGTAGCAGAGGTCAGTTCCTGTTCCCAATTTCCCATTTTCAAAACTATCACCAGTATCACTGGCTGTGGCCACCCTTCTCAAGGGTTTGGGTACCTGTCTTATGGGATCCTATCACATTCAGAAATAGCTGCATGAAGATGGAGGAAGGTCTATGAACCAAGGCATGGGTGAAGGAAGCTTCTAGAAGCTTAATATAGCCAAATTATAGCCAGCAAGAAATGGGAACTTCAGCCCTTGAATCACAAGGAAATGAGTTCTGCAAATAATCTAAATGAGTCTCTTAAGAGGAACACAGCCAACACTTTGATTTTAACCTTGTGAGACCCAAGTCTGACTTTTGACACACATTCCTCTAGGATAATAAATTTGATTGTTTTAAGTAAAAAAAAAAAAAAAGAAAGAAAGAAGAAAAAAGCAATAGCAACAGCCAGCAGTTGAGAGCATGTTCCTTCTAGGTCTAGGTCCCACCTTGTGGGGTTCCTCTTCCAAACATCTGTACTCTCTCTTCCTTTGGTTCCCCAGTTTTTGGAACAGTAGCTGCTCCTGCACTATCTACCTAGAATTTCTAATTGTCCCTTTTTTGGCCCTGGGATGCTCCAACTCCAGTTAAGTTGTTTTCTCTTTTGTCAGTTAAAATAACTGGCGTGGTTTCTCTTTTCTGATTGGTTCCTGACAGGTACCCCTCACCACTGTGCTACTCTTCTCCCTGGTAGCTAACTCCAAGCCTAGGAATCTTATAGTCTTGTTCACCTTCTTTCTAACTGCCTCTCTCCTAATCATTTGTCAAACCCAATTGATTTTCTCAGTTTCTTTCCTCCTTTTCATTGGTATTGCTGTAGTCCTATTTGTGGTCTCCAGTAAATTTTCCTTTTGCTCGTACTCCTATTGTGGTTTTCTTAACTTGAATCTCTATCCTTGTTGCATTCTAGATAATTTTTAACATGCTTGTCTGAGTTCTTTCTCCATATGCAATTATAATGATAACTTTCTTATATTCTACTGAAGCTCCAATTCCTCAGCATGGCATTCAAGGTCCTCTAGAATTATCCCAAATCTACTTTTCTCTTCCTTTTAATTGTATCCCTCTATGCACCGGATGAAGATTGTGTTGTGTGGAAAGCAGGGGGTCGGGGAAGGGAGGAGGAGGAGACAGGAGTGGGTGGGGTAAGAGGATAAGCTGCAATGCAGTCACACCAAAGGTCTCAGCCAACTGCACAGTGACCCTGAAGAACAGACAACCTTTCTAAACTACCCTGAATCCCGGAGGGCAAGGTTCTTACATACTCAAAAGGAGCAGCCACTGGAGGTAGGCTCCACTGGGGGGGGTGGGTATGACCTTGGACCAGCTTTGGGCTGCTAGGAGCCATTTCCAAAGAGGACTGATGGGGACACCACTCCCAGCAGCTGCAGCAATAGACCCTTTAGTTCTGGAAAGGAAGGTCTGTGTGGCATGCCACAGCAGTCACTATAGACTCAACTTACCTGACTAAATTTTGCTTGTAAAACAGGTGAGGTAATGCAATCTGTCTCCTCCTCCTCCTCCTCCTCCTCCTCCTTCTCTCTCCCCCCCCCACCCCGGTCTCTCTCTCTCTCTCTCTCTCTTTTGTGCAATCTGTCTTCTATTGAACTAATTCCTCAGTCTCATATGCGCTGGCCTGAGATGACCTGTGTTAAAATCCTACCTGCCTTTTCAATATTGTTTTGTAAAAACTGCATTATTATCAAAATGCAATTCATATGCCATAGAATCTGGCTATTTAAATGTACAATTCAGTATATTTTCAGTTTGTGCAACCATCACCTTGGTCAATTTTAGGAATTTTCATCACCATAGAACAATCCCTACCCTTTAGCTCTCTATCCCTTTCTTTCCCCTGGCCCTAAGCAACCATGAATCTATTTTCTCTCTTTAGTTCCTATTCTAGACATTTCATATAGATGGATCTTATAAGTGGTCTTTTTTTGTCTAGCTTCTTTTTTTTCTTATGGTACCAGGGATTGAACCCTGAGGCACTTAACCACTGAGCCACACCCTCAGCCCTTTGTAATATTTTATTTAGACACAACATCTTGTTGAGTTGCATAGGGCCTTACTAAGTTGCTGAGACTGGCTTTGAACTCACTTTCCTCCTGCCTCAACCTCCCGAGCCACTGGTATTACAGGCCACTGTGCCTGGTTTATGGCTTCTTTCTCTTAACTGTAACCATTTTCCAAGTCCAGCCATGTTGTAGTATGTATTTGCCCCTTATCCCTTTTTATGCCCAAATAATATTTCACTGTGTGGATAAACCACATTTGTTTATCCAGATTTTTTAGTTCTTGGACATTTGGGTTATTTTGATCTCTGAGGCACCATGAGTAATGCCATGAATATGTACTGTATGAGATTTTGTGTGGACATTTGTTTTCTTTTCTCTTGGGTATATGCTGAGGATTGGAATTGCTGAGTCATAAGATAACTATGTTTAGTTTTTTTCAGGGAACTGCCTGATCTTTGTCCAAAGTGGCTGCTTTGGAACTGTGGCTTTTTCTGTGAAGCTGACAACAGCCTGCCTGCCTCCTAAAGCCTCCTCTTGCTGTCCTGTTTCAGTGTCCTGTCTCCACATTCCTGTAGCGCTCTCTGTTTATCTTTGTTCAGCCCTTTTCCACTCAGTCTTGTCATGTTGCAGTGAACATCTCTGTTTCACCTGCATCCCTCTTATGCTTAGTCTACCGACCAGGCTGAGTAACATATTCTATCTCTATAAGCACTGAGGATGTTTAGCAGTGACCATTATCCCAGTCAGAACAAATTGGCATCAGTTCTGAGACTTCTGCTAAAACGATTGGGCAAAGATCGTATGGTCACTAAGCTGGCGTTACATAAGCCTGGAGTGGTTGGTGGTCTTGTCATCACCAAAGGCGAAAGAGAACTCACCGGAGAGTGAAATCAGTCCAGAGGAAGGCTCCAGAGTGAAGCGAGACAGAGTGCCTGCTGACTTTGCTCCATCCAGTGGTGCCTGAAATCTACACGTACAACATTCAGTTTCATGAGCCGATAAATTCCCCAGCACATGTGTTCTTATGAAGTAGGCTTCTGTCATTTGTGATGCAAAGAATCCTCATCAATAGAATGGTTAATAGTGCATTCCCTCTTCCACTGAGTTTTAAGCTTCTGAAGATACCAGTCTTCTTCATTTTAGCATGGTGCTTGCACACAGAAACTGCTAATAGGTGGTTGTTGGATAAATGAATGAATGAGGAATGAGGCTATCCTTCCTTGCTCTGTTTAGAACTACATCCTGTAGTTTTATGGCCAGCAATAGTGCTTTCCCTTCGCATAGAAAAAGCCTGAGCTTTTAAGTATGTGTGTGTGTGTGTGTGTGTGTGTGTACATATTTTTCCTCAGGTTCAACATTGAATTAAGCTATCTCATATGAGGATTTGGGTACCAAAGAACTTTAGTTCCTCTCTTTAGGGTCCTACCAAAGATCTCTTCTCACATGCTCTCGAGGAAAGCCGGGCCACTTTTGTTCTCACAGATCTATCACTGTAGCTTCATAAATAGGTCGTTAGCCACTTTATGCTATAATTTATTTCTATATAGTTGACTTTTGGGATATGGAAATGAAGGCCTGTTTTCCTCGTTATTTGGGAACTTGAGAGTTTACTTTTTGATTCCAACTCTTTAAATATATAAAACCAAATTATTTAAGAAGTAGAAATTTCCATAAAGAGGGTTGTGTTGTAGGATAAATTCAGAGATTATATAGGAGAGGATAAATGTAGCCCAGAAGATTAAAAAGTCATTTTAAATGGGCAAACCATAGAATAGCAGGTATTGATATATATCTTTAATCAGCCCAACTTCAGGTATATGTTTATGCTTTCACCCCAAAAGCTGAAAAAGTTTTTAAAGTACCATATTGTACCATAAAGTACCAAAACTTTTTATTTTTTAAAAAAAGGTTTATTTATTTCTGCTATCAAAGAACAGAATTATGACAGTGTAATTTAACAATCCTAATTGGCTTCATTTTAAATTTTAAAATTAGGTAACACTTCATTCCATAAAGCAGAATCAGTTTTCCTATGAGCCAAGCACTCCTCAAAAATAATTTGATGAGTTAACATCAGATTATTTATTTTGCTTACACAAAATAAGGACAAGGGAACTTTACTATTTCGCCAGTTGAGAATGGCTGTTCTCCCCCCAATCTAGATTTCTCTGGGAGGACCAGATGTGTCAGCTTGGTTTGATTGACTCCATGTTCCCCCCCCCCCCCCCACCTTGACTATTGTCTCTGTTGAAAAACTGGCTTCACAAAGAAGGTGGCAGCAGGAAATTTCAGAATCCAAAGCTTAAAAATAAGTCTTGGGCAGTGTGGTGTCTCTGGGAGGGATCATCTGGTGTCTGAGGCCCGGGGACAGAGGTAAAGTCCCCAGCCACCCATCCAGGAGATGTCACTCTCAGTAGCGTCTGGTGTCCTGAACTTTGCTCGCCCAGGATGACAGTGGGTAAGGAGCAGAAGGTCACAGGGGCCCCCTGACCCTCTGGGTGACAGAGCTCTCCCTGGGCAGACCCCGGGGCTGAGGGTCAACGGCCAGGGGAGAATCATGTCAACGACTCCCCGCCTGTGGTCCCTGAGGTCCTGGGGCAGGGATGTAGGAGGTAGCTACTGTCATAAGACGTCCCCATCCCCAGCCAGGCTGGGTGCCTGGCTAATCGAGGAGAAAGACAGTGTCCCTCCTCAGGACCTGGCCCCTGAACCTGGTCTCACTTCCTCCCCGGCACCGCCTGGAAGGGGAGAAGTGACACCCAGGGGAAGGCCGGGAAGTGAGGCCACCGTCACATTCAAGTTCAGGGTGCGACAGCTCAGTCTGGCCCCCAACAGGCCCCATACTCAGCTCCCCTTCATGGGCCACATCCCTTCTGAGAGTCACGCCCTGCCCTTTATAGGCACAAGGACCCAGAAGTTCCAGGGACATGTCCACGTTTAGGCCCTCAGATCTGGAAGTGCCTCAAGCGTCCATGTTTAGGTGCTCGGATCCGGAAGTTCCTTGGGCACACATCCATGTTTAGGTAGTAGCATCCAGAAGTGCCTCAGGTGCATGTCCATGTTTAGGCTCTAGGATCCGGAAGTGCCTCAGGCATCCATGTTTAGTCCCCCGGATCCGGATCCAGAAGTTTCAAAGGTGCACGTCCATGTTTAGGTGCCCGGATCTGGAAGTTCCTCGGGCACACATCCATGTTTAGGCAGTAGCATCCAGAAGTGCCTCAGGTGCATGTCCATGTTTAGGCTCTAGGATCCGTAAGTTCCTCAGGTGTCCATGTTTAGGCTGCAGCATCCGTCCAAAAAGTTTTTAAAGTACCATTCTCTATCCTTGAGACACATTGTCTAAAGGCAAAATAGAGGCTTTGCAAGGCTAATAGCTACAGAAAAGCTGCCATATGAAAACGTGGGCTCAGAGAACTCAAGTTTGAGCCATTCTATTTCCACAAAGTTGGGATCTTTGCCAGTCACAGTTATTTGAGTTCTGTGGACTGATGAGACCAAAGCAGCCAGGACATTTGGAAAGGGATGGTTCTCTTTCCTAGTTGTCAGATTATACATTTCCCCCCTTATTGATTCTTCAAAAACTTATTCTTGATTGCACATATGGTGTGTACATCATGTACAACTGGAGAAATGAAAAGTTGGTGCTCCATTTATGTGCCATGAATCAAAATGCATTCTACAGTCACGTATGACTAATTAGAACAAATAAAAAACATATATATATATATTTTAAAAACCTTATTCTTTGGAAACTAAATGTCCCAGGAGACTATGACCTAACCCTAATGATTCATTGGAGAGTTTTTTTTTTTTTTTTTAAGAAGGGAGTGTTCCTTAAAATAGAAGGGGATTTTCACTTTGAAGGCAAAAAGGTTTTCTCTCCTTACCCTTAGTCACAGGGGTCATGCTGTCCCTGACACGTTTTTCCTTCCCATTCTGCTTCTTTATTCACATTTGAGAGACATCAGGGAATGTTCCTCATTATTTAAAACATTTTCTCTTTGCATTTGATTAAAGGAGCTGGTGTTTTCTGTTAATAAAAACAAATAGGACACTAGAAGTCCTGTGTGTCTGCTGCTTATGAAGTATATCTAGGGACAGATCCTTGCAGCCAAAGTGAGGGTTGAAAGCCTATTTGCTGTTGCTTATGGGGAAGGAGCAACCTGAAGCAGATCAACTTCACAGCTCATCACTGCATCAAGGGCATTTTCTGAGCAGTGCTCCATAAACCATTCTGCCCCGTGGGGTACTGAGCAATACTGTCTAGTTGACCTAAGTTGCCAAGACTTTATTTTCTTACCCTTTCCTATGTATTTATTGAATGTTTTTGGTCTTTCTACTTATTCTCATAGCAGCATCTGCACTCCAGCGATGCAAGATTTGGAAGATCTTTTCACATTCTTTGACTTCAGTTTCCTTTGAAATGTTACGCACACTATCTTTAAAATCTATCAGCTCTAAAATTCTTTAGTGCCTTATGCCTCTTCGTTCTACTGCATTAGACTCTGGCCTTAATTCTTAAACTAATCTTGGTATTACTTGAGATAAATGTCACAAGCAGAGATGGCAGGAAATGGTATCTTGATACGGTGAACACAGGAATTAGAGCTCATGAATCACAATGAACCTTAAATTAATTGGTGAAGTTATCTTTATATCATTTTGTCTCAGACACCTTCTGTTTCAAAGGCAGATAATATTATTTTGGGGTCAAAGAAGAAATAATGGGGATGTACTTATGAAGGCTATACAAGTAACAGGTGCAAGGACAATGGCAACATTTATGATTGACTATTATAAAAGGCACTCCTGGAATTGCTTTGCCTGTTTTTAATGGTGAACCATCCTGGGGTGTTTTTACTAGGTGTCTGTGTGCGCTCATCCTGGGAATCCTGAAGTCAACTCCACCATAAATTAAAAATGAGGATACACCATTGACTCCAGAGATTCTGCAAAAATAGTCATATATTCCTCAATATAATCATCACTCATTCCTATTTAAATTTTTATGTGTCCTAAAAATATCCGTGTATCACTGAGTAGCATTGCCACTCAATCTAGAAGTCATTACCTTCAAAGCCAGGAAAAATGTCTACTTTAAAAATAGTATGGATTAGTTGTAAGATTTGAAAGAGAAAAATAATTTTTAGATAAGAGGAAAAAATATCTCTTGAGTTTCTTTTTGCACTGTCATTGCCTTTAAATAACCTCATTGATTTCATAGAATAGTGACAGAGAATTGTTGATATAGTGCAGGCCATTATATAAACAGTAATACAAGTTGAGGCAGTTATTTTGAATGATGTCTATGTCTAATCATAAATTAAAATATGGAAAGGAAATTATAGAAACATTAAGATGAGTTGAGGCAGTTATTTTAAATTATGTCTATACTTAATCATTAAAATATTGAGAGGAAAAAAAACACACAAGTTCTTTAATATAGAACATTATTGGCTTCTGGATGGTCAGGAAACCACAGCTTTATCCGTAATGTAAGTTGTAGTGATTGTTAGGCCAGTGGTTCATATTTTAAACAATCCCAGGATGTCGTATGTGTTTACTTCGCTTGTGTTCAAAAACATTCATAAATATGTATTCCCAGGATATAACGATTAGAGAAAATCTTGTCGACTTTCATGCACTTTTATGACAGTTTGTTTTCCTTTGTCACACAAAGGATACATGGCTGATCCAAAGCTCAGCATACTTCAATCGTGGTTATATGATACCATGACAAGCTCTATCTAAGCTTCTTTAAAAATAGTCCTCTGGGGATGCTTCAAAGAATGGCACACAGTGACAACTGGAAGAACACTGCTTTATTAATAGTCGGCAATTCTTACAAATTCCAGGCGTGCTGAGAAGCCTCTGCTCAGCTCAGCCGTCTATTATGGTTAACAGCCACCTCTGAAGCAAACACTTGAAGCTTGTGCAAGTATTAAGGAATACCTTCACACAAGCCAAGTTGTATCTTAACGTACATACAATAAGTCGACATTAAACACACACAAGCAATATGAGATATAAGAAA